TTTGGTAATAAGAATGCAAGTTTTAAATACCCCCAAAATATTACCATTGGTATTAGCTACATTTCTGATTAAAAATTATGTGGGAGTGGATATGCAGAGATGTTTCTTCTACTTCATCTATTTAACTTTCAGGTACATATGAGAAGACGGCACAAAAAGAGGCCGTTTCTTTGAACTTCACTCTTGATTTTTTTTTAAATCAGCAACCAGAAAACATAAAAAAGGAGAGAAAGATAAACTACTTATGGGCAAGTTACATAAAGTGGCACCTCTCACTGGGCACCAGAGAATCCAGAAGGAAGAAACCTTCAAATTCCAAAACTGCTTGAAAGCCTACAGACAGAATTTGCCCTTGCTTAGACTCTGCAGTTCATCTCCACATGCACCACAAACCAGGCTTCATTAGTCACAGAGCTCTCAGAAGTACTTGCTTAACAAACCTTTTGATTTTAAACTAAGCGTGAGTTCTGGACACCAGCTAATGATTTTTGTGCTGACAGTAGTAGCATTGCTGATATAATGTGTAGCCTCAGACAGTAAAATTGGTTCACATTCTTTTCATTCAAATGTCTAACTGGACCTCTATTATATGAGCTGGAAGTTCTGGATATAAGGAGCACCATTTATCAACATAGCTGCTATTTTGCTCTATGTCAGGCATGGAGCTGGACTAATAGTTATCATTGGAACTTTTCCCCATGCATACAGCAGTACTGCAGATATATTGAACTTCACCTTAAACAGGAATGATTTCAGCAAATAAGGTATATTATTTCATCTAAGCACAAGTGCAATTCATAAGTAATAGACAATTTGTGACTTACTGGCATTCCAGCAGTCACAAAGTTTTCCTCTGCTAGCTAGTTAGATAATGACTTCTAGGGTGCAAGCTGGTGTACCACGTTATATTATACAACACAGAAGTCAGTCAAAAAAAAAAAAGAAAAAAAAAGAAAAAAAACTGAGAGAGAGAAAATTTTTTATTTTTTTTTATAAAAGAGGTGTTAGGAGCTACAGGGTCTTCACAAAACAGCTTTTAAAGAGCATGTATTCATTCCACCGCTTTTGAAATTCAGTTACAGCTAAGTGAGCTATCACAAGGAAACTATTTCACTGAACTGAACAACAATAAACTAAAACGAGTAGAAGTACTAAAAGCATGCCTGAGGCATCAGAAACTTTGGTGTTAATTTCCATTTCTTTCAAGTGCATTTGATGAATGATGTGACAAAAGAATCCTAATTAAAGTTGAAATCCTGAATACTAAATAAATGAGAAGTGCCACTACATTCATCTTCTACAATGATAATACAGCCACTTCTACTTCTTCTCTGTGCCCCTTTGCTTACATCTGTGGCAGTAACTCAGCAAAGGGCACTGCCAGCACAGACGGAGGAATGGATACTGTTCCCCCAGATAGAGAGATAATAGGACAGACTGCTTTGTTTCCCTTCACTGCCTTCAATTTACACAAAGAAAGCCTATCAGGAGCTTTCAAAGTATTTTCAGATATTTATTTTTCCTCTCAAATGACTTAAAACTTGACAAGCAACACTGCACTCTCTGGTCTTCAGTAGCACCAGACAAGTTGTTGTGTTTATGGCCATTAATTTTTTATTTCTTTTATTACTGGAAAATCATTAAATACTTAAGATAATATATAATCCTAATGGGTTGGAAAGCAACACTGAAGGGATGAAATTCTATGGCTTGTGTCACACAAGCCAGGCAAGACAATCATAAATGACCTTAAAATCTATGAATCTTTCAAAGAGCTGCCCCATTCAATAAGCAGACTGAACATGAATTATGACTCCCCAGAGACATCCTTTCCCTGCTCCCCTTTTGTTCCGGGGAGCAACTCTAAAATACTTTAGGAGAAGCCTATATCCCCAGCATGCCAGAGCAAGTAGGCTTGTCTTTTTTCATTCACTTTGCACTACTTACAGAAAGAAGGCTGGCAACGAAGGAGCCTCTTCCCACCATAACTACACTCCAAGTCTGACAACACAAACAAAAGTGATGTCTCCGTGTCTCCAAGTCCCATTTGTACTATCTACAGCCTGTGTCAAGAGAAGTCCTAAAACCAGCCTGGAGTCAGTCAAGAGCTCAAAGGGAGCCATGTAGTCCAAAGTCCCAGCATATTAGTCAGTGACTAATAGTGGCTGCCTATCAGAGAAAGTGTAAAAACATGACAAGCATGTAATGACGCTTCTCCAAATTATTCTCCCAGAACCTAGCAACTGAGAAAAAGTTCTGACTTGGAGTTAATGCCTGTATATTTAATGACCCACGATGTATTGCGCATACACAGAGCACACATGACTCGTCTGACACAGTAAAGTACTCCAACCCTACGATAGCATAGGACAAACAACATGGCATGCCTTATTATAATCTTCTCAGAGCAATACTACACTTCTTGCCTCATTTTAAACAATGTGGTTTCTTTTTATTTTCTAGATGACAAACTCTCTCCTTTACCCTTTTCATTTGAGGTTTTAAGCAAGTTTTCTGATTTGTTCTATGAAAAAGTTTTTTTCAGAGGAAACAAAAGAGAGAATTATCTTAATGAAAAAGATAAATCACTTGTTTATATCTGCCTGGTATATTTTAAGACCTGATTTTACTCCCAATGTATCTAGTGAAATTGTAGTGGGATACAACTTTAAAGTACTGTGAGTGAAAAAGCTGCTTGTGTCTACCTGGTGTATAATTTCCAGAATTTTTGTCACCATGTGAATTTTGTAGCCCTAATTTTCCCCTATGAATTTTGGATTGATATTTTAGAAAGGGTATTTCTTGATCTTAACTGTAATAATGATAATTTCAGTGATCACAGTGGGTTGTTGGGCTAATTATTCTATATAGGTAGTTATATATAGATTTAATAAATTGCCTAAGTAGGAGAGACATGCTGAGACACATATTGTATCATATTTGTTATGATGTCTTACACATGCAAAATTGAATATTTGCAGCACCAGGTCTTGAATTTTAATTTTGTATTCAGCTGCTAACAATGAAATATTTTATTCCAATTTCACTCAGGAAAAAAGAAAATTTTCACCCCATCTTTAAAAATGCACAAGAAGACAATTATCTCATTATGTCTTTTTCACACAAACACCTTCTGATACAGACATGTAACTTGCATTTTCCATTATGCTTAAAAAAACTTCTTTTTTTCTGTTTTTTGAATGGCTTCATATTTATGTCTTGTAGAGCTGTTTATGAAAGAAGGTAAGCAAGAGAAATTTAAAGAGCAATGACTAGAACTTGAGAACTTAGTAACTGAGGTACATGCTTTGTAACCAAAAGGTGAACAGAAGCAAGAGACTTCTCAAAACAAATGCAAGAGAGGAATTTGGAGAATTAACTTGCTTTGTTACATGTACTGTCACATGGTACACCACATAGATTAATGAAGCCACTGCAAGTTTTTCTTTCTTAGGGCTAGATTAGATTGTATTTGGTCTTTGCCATCACTTTGATTTCTTGGTCACTGACCTTGATCCTTCTGCCACTACTGTGATCTCCAGGGATTAAGTGCCCAAAGGTTATCAGCTTAAATACACATATATGAGTTGTCATATCTGGATTCTTAATAATTGATTGTCAAAGCACTTCTGCACAATGCACCTTGCTTTCTTCTTCTTCTTTTTTTTCTTCTTTTTTTTTTTTTTTTTTTTGGCAGAACAAGTGCCCTTTCTTAGAGCAATGCTCTTGTTTGGGGTGAGTGTCGACTAGTGTGATAAAGCATAAAAATACAAGCTTGTCAGGAATGACCCAATTGGTAGTGCTCAGAACTTTTGGCTAAGAAGTCAGAGAAAGTTCTTCTGCTGTTTTTTTTCCTGGGACTAGTGAAAAATGAATCACACGATTGTCATTAGGAGAAATTTAGGCTTGATTGTGAATTTCGAAGGAAATTATCTTCTTACAGAGCTACAGAAGGAAAAGGTATGCTTGTTAGTCATTTAAAAATATTGCAAATGATCTAAAATGAGTTTTAAATCTATTAGTGGGCCAAAAAGAAACTAATTTAAATATATGCTTTCTCTGCTCTGAGATTTATTTGTCCTATAAACTTATATAGGGATTTTTTTAAGCTTGTGTTTTTTTAAAAAAGGCTTGTTAATTTTAAAGTATAAGTGTTTTCCAAGGACTTCACTACAATTATGTTTGTTTGTTAATATGCTTGTTTTAAAGTTTATAAACTGGCCTGTACTCAGTGGTTTTACTGGAAGACTTGAGCTATTTAATTCATGTTTAGATCACTGCTGGTAAAAAACAGATTATGTAAAACTAGTGGCCTTGAATGTTGAAAAAGTTTAGAAAGCAAGGTTAACTGAACAGCATCATTTGTTAAATATGCTGCGCACACCAGAAAGGTACAATAGGCTGCTTAAGACAGCTGGGTTTTTATTCAAGTGGATTAGTCACAGAGACATAGAGGAGCATTTTTTTTTTAACAATTGTTTCCGGAGCTATAGTGTGCTATTATCACATAAGATAAATCTGAAAAGCATTGAACAGAGTAAACTGTTCAGTTGTGTAATGTTTCCCTATGCCTTTAAAGGTTTATAATGTCTTTTATCGCTGCGAGGGGAAATCTGAATCTTTTATCAACTAGTTCAAAAAAGCAATCCATTTAAATAATGTGTCTGGAACTGTAGTCTATGGAGATAATCAGTAGCTTATTAACCTTAATCATAACAACACATTATCGCTATTTGGTTTCATGTTGACTAATTTGCAGAACAATGGGGAAGAGCACACTCAGCACATAAGACTATTCCTAGTTCTTGGCACTGCATAAATACAGTGACCCTCACTTGAAATGTCAGAGAAAAAGCTGTATCATTTGATGAAGGAGAGAGTTGGGGGAAAAAGGATCATGTAATCAGATAGTTATAAAGTAAACACTTGTTAAACCCCTGGACAAAGTGAGATCATCATCAAACAGATACCTAGAGCACAGAATAAAGGTCAGTTACCTTTTATCATGTTTGTGTAGCTTCAGTTGAACTAACAAGCAGCAGCATGTGCTTAAGGTCATAGTTAAACACTTTTGCCTTGGTAAATGAGCTGTGTATTCAGTTCTTCCTTTTCAAGAGCATGGCCATATTGGAACTCTGATCTACAAGAAAAAGACAGAGATCAGAAAAGGAAGAAATCTACTTGGAGACAGAAATAAGTAATTTCAAATGGTATAAAGAAATAATAATGGCAAAAAATAAAATAAGTCAAAACGCAGGGGACAAACCTTAAAAATAGAACAGTTCACTTTAATTTTGGGGAGTGAAAGTGCAGAACTTTTTTTCTCTCCAGATTTGTCAAAATCATAAGCAATGCTTTACCTTGAATTATTTCAACATTAAAGGTACATTTCCTCATATCTGTACACTTCCTGTGGAAATTCTAGTTCCCAATCCTGATGAACTTACTGTTTCATATGAATGACACAGATAAACCTACAAATCAGGAAGAAATATAATCATAAGACTTATGAGAGATTTAGATGGCATAGACTCCACCCTGAAAGGGGGAAGATGGATTAATAAACAACTTCTAAGGCAGTGTAATATGCCTTGCCTCATAGAAGCATGCTAAATAATATATAGCATGCATATAACATATAGAAGCATGCTATATAACAGTTCCACTGAATTCATTCAGAAAAGGAAATTTTACAGTTTTTGAGATCATCTTTTTAGAAAATGTAAGGTTATAACATTTTCAGTGGGAAATACTAGAAAAACTTCAGCATACATCTAAATATTTCAACATAATAAAATCAAGAAGTTTTAGGTTCTGTATTATGGAAATAACCTTCTTAAAAGTGTTTACACAGTACAAATTCAGTTAACAACACCTCAAAATATATTAGGTAGAATTCTGCTACAATAAACTTAAGAAACATGAAATACACAATCTTCTGCCTTTTCACTGAATTATGCTATGCTACCATATGTCATTAAGTGTTTACTGAAGCTTAATAGTTATTGAGTCACAGGACAGCAACAGTCTCCTTGCATGATTTGCATTTCATAGAAAAATGCGCAAACTTAAATTGGCCAGAGTGTTCACACAGAATAAGATTCTGCTACAGGGTGAACTTTTTAATGAAGCTTGTTTGTGTAGCTGTTTCCGTGATGGAGAAATTGGTAGCAATATGTTTATGCTTTGATAAGAGTTCAAAACCTGTCTTTTATAAACTGCAGTAGAGAAGTGAATACCACTAATATAGTAGTAGTGCTGCTGCAGCCACGAGGGTTAAAGAAGAGGTCATTAGACATTGGTTTTATTAGATTAGCCTGCAAAGTTGGGGGAAAAAAAAAAGTAGAAAAGTTTTGGGGACCAACTCTTCAGGTGTCAAACAGAATCAGCAAGACATTAAATGTGCAAAAAATTCTAAAAAAATGGGCTTGTTCTTCAAAACACAGGTTTTTGTTCTTTTTCTTCTTTGTTCTTCTTAATATTTAACTAGAATAATATAATATAGGAAAATTTCTAGAAATAGCAGATCAGTTTGAAATGCTGCAGTCCATGTTCTGATACTAGAAAAGTTGAATGAATTATAGAGAGTATTTCACCAAGATTTTACTTGGCACAGATAATGACTTTGTAATGGAAGTTTTAAAGGAGGAGGAAATAAAATAGAATAAGAGAAGTAAGCATACAGTTAAACTAGGAATAGTAACTGAGGCTGATGAAGGTCAAATCTGGGGATGCTGGGTAACTAACTGTAAAGTTAAAATGAAACCTCAGCCAATTATTCTTGACCATCACCAAACCAACAAGGTTTGGGAGAGAGAGACAATTACTTTGGTGAGACTTCATTATTTCAATGATTCACATTTAAAATTCTGTAAATGCATTTATTGCCATTTTGTCTTAGAAATGGTGCAGTTAATAAGGGCTCTACAAAACAAAACTTCCCCACCTTTTCCTGCTAGCATCAAAGCGCTCTGTGTGAGAGAGTAACTGTGTTTTTTTTTCTTATGTGTCATTGCCCTATCAGTCCTAGCCCAGAGTAAAGTATCTGATAAAGATCTGCAGTGGTTTGGTTTCTGAATCTGCTAGGGACTAGACAGAAAAAAGCCCCCAGTAATTCACACAGGCCACAGGATAGGACTGAGATGAAAATGTCTCACATGTACGATACATGAAAAGACAACGACCCCATAACAAGTTTTGTCTTACACCAGATAAATAATCTTGTAGATTCAGGGCTCTGGAAGCAAATATCTACCTACATTTACATATTTTTATAATTTATAAGCAGTTTAGTGATACTGCTTATAAATAAGCACAGATTCACATTATCTAAAACTGTATCTTTTTCATTTCACAACAGTGAAGAAATTTGAAACTCATTTTATGAGGCTGTAGGATCTGAATTTTACTGAAGTGTGCTGTGAGCAGATTACACTGTTAATGTACATATGTTGGTCTGATCTGAAATAATGCAGAAAATGCATCTGATTATGCATTACTTTAGGCAAATATTGCCCATAAACTTAAGTGACTACTCGAGACTTTGTCTAAATGGCAAACAATAAGTATAAAAACTGGAATTAGCTTTCTGGGTGCTGTTTGGTATCTAATGACAAACTGAAAGCATTTAAGTATGAAGAAAAAAGCTGATCTCATCTCATCCGCTTGCCTGCCTCTTAGTCCTTTACCATGTATTTTGCTTATGTAGTAGAAGAGTATCGGTTCATGATAAAATTACAACATGTCTTCACTTAATAAAAAAATTATGTTTTTATTCAGTGTTTGTGTTGATATCTTAAGTATCACGCACACTGCTATGTAGTGACAAGACCCAACGCACTTTGGCTTCTTTTCAATATAAAAATACGAAGGTGTTGATTTAATTACCACTCTGGCAATAAATCTGAAAGCATGTTAGTGAGTATTAATGTCATATGTTTAGCCAAAAGAATTCCTGAAGTCAGCATGCTATTTTATCTTCTATAAAGCACTAGTTATAAGGAGTTGAATACATATTTTAAGAAGTATTTTATATCTTGCTAGATAATAGTTGGTTACAATTGAAAAATCTGCCTTCTGTACACACAGAACTTATGTTGTATTTTTGCAAAATAGTAACGATGATGACAGAAGTAACTAAATTCTAATAGAATTTATCAAGAATATCCAGACAAAACCAGAAGCAATTATATTATTCAGCTGAGGAATTTTACAGTTGTCAAGATAAACATTCTGGAGATTTTATTTGGATTATTTTAAGAAATCCCACACAGTTTGAACAATTAACTACATGAAAATCACCATGAAACTTTTTATGTTTCCTTTAACAGAATGTTTCATATCTTTTTCTAACAATCTTTGAATCCCATTAGAGACTGAATTCATCAAGGATTTAGATGAGAAATAGAAGCTTCTGTTTCAGAAAACAATGGCAGCTAGACAACAGAAAACAGATGCCAATTATTTGCCTGCGTCTGTGGTAGAACAAAACATTTTATGACATTTACATATCCTTAGCAAAACTGCCATTGATGTCAGAGAAATACCAGTCAGAAGGTTCTGAAACAAGACTCTATATAATGGAGGACTGCAAATAATTCCTTTCACTTTTATAAAGATGACAAGAGGAAAGATATGTAGTACTTTGTATAGAGTAGGAACAAAGCTATGTATATTAGCAAAATCTGGACTAAAACTGTCTCACACTGTAAAACTAGAGTTGCTTAATTGAAGTGAAAACAGAATTTATACTGCTTGGACTTAAGAGCCACAAAATTGGATTTATTTTGTCATACACTGAACAAGAAAGAATTCAAGCTACAACAGAAAATAAAACTAATCTTTTGTCTTTTTAACCTTTGTTTGGCCTAAGTACGTATTTATAAGTTGGGCTAGTCTTCAGCATGTGCCACCCAAGGAACACAGAAGCTGACGCCACTCTACTTACCTTTAACAGACTAGCTTAACACAGTACTTATTATTGGTAAACATTAAGTCAGATCAGCATAAAGTAATTCTCTTAAGCTAGGCTGAAACCCAAAACTTTTAGTTTGATTTGAAGCAACCTTCCAGTATCTGAAGGAGGCTTATAAAAATGCTGAGGAGGGGCTCTTCATTAGGGACTGTAGTGACAGGACAAGGGGTAACGGGTTAAAACTTAAACAGGGGAAGTTTAGATTGAATATAAGGAAGAAATTCTTTCCTGTTAGGGTGGTGAGGCACTGGAAGGAGTTGCCCAGGGAAGCTGTGAATGCTCCATCCAATTAATATTTTCTGGAAATAGAAATTTTAAACTTAATAATATTGACATATTAAGCCACTGATGGCTAATAAATGCTTGAAAACAAGGCCAAAGCCCAGGTCTTATTTTAAGTCTCAAAGAAAGGGTAGTTTCTATCTAACCTAACAGATCAGAACCTCGACTTGCTCATTAGCTGAGAACCTCTACCCTCCTTATTAGGCCCAATTCTCTCAGATAAACTCTCAGATGGAAACTGCTGCTATTATACACAGGACACATTCCATGTCATTAATAGAACAGGTGTTCAAAGATTTTGGATACCTCAAGTTTACCCAGCTTCTTACAAGGTCTCTTCTCATAAATAATAGCAGCTGCCAAACCAAGGATAATTTGCAGAAAAAGATGGAGCTTCCCAGCCTAACAAACCTTCAGTTTTATGTGCTCACATAGCAAATTTGTTTAGGGAGTTTGTAGTGGCTTCTTAAAACAGTGTTTAGGATCGCTATTACTAATACTCATGAGGCAGTAATTTAGCTTCCAATGAGATTAGTAGGAGCTTTAAGTAATGCCCACAAAGAATTTAGAATTTGGATCATTAACTATAATATGCAACTTTCACACAAGAAAGGTTACATTTACTTTAGAAGTTTTATTTCAAGTAGATGTCGATAAGCCAAGATCATTTTAAATCAAGGATACATACAATAATATTTTTTGTCTAGAAGAATATGAACAGATGTAAAATCAAATTTTCTCACAGTGGAAAACCTCAGCATTTGACTGAAGTCACATAAGCCTGCATTTGTTACTGTACTTTAACACATTTTATTACCTGATTTTATCCCAGCTGCCTTATTTTCTATAGTGGGATAAGAGCCAAAGAGCTTTGTCAGAATGGAGCATGTTCAGTTACATGGCACCCTCCAATAAAGAAAAAGGAAGAGGAAACAAAGATTCCGGTGCTCAGATAAGAGAGAGACTTATTTTTGAAAAAAATTTTGCAGGAAAATGTAGATTAAAAGATTAGGAGTTTTTCCAAGTAGAATTAGGTTAAATGTATTTTAAACACTAAACCTCACTTAAAGAGGAATAAAGAGTTGTCATATTTCTGTTGCAGCTACTAATCTCAGATATTTATTCAGGTTTTGTACTAGTGTAAAGGACCTTTGCTGCCTAGAGGGAGTGGAGCTATATTAAGAAGCCCAGCAAATTTAGCCCAGAAGAACAAATTTC